CGTTTACCAAATCTTTTCAACACACACTGGCCGAGCTATCAAATGCTTATAATTAATAACAGTCATACCCCCCCTTTTTTTTCTTTAAGGTAGTGGTTTCTGGCTTTCCTTGGGCTGCTCATGTCATTGCTAGTATAACTCAGGGAGATGGCCAGTGAGGCATTTTTCTCAAATAAGAGAGAAAAAAACTAGTCAAATTTGAGTTAAGTCCTGAATACAAAACATTGCTTTATTAAAAAATAAAGTATTTCTCACCAGGAATAAAAGGGGAAAAAAAGAAGAAAAGTATTTTTTCTTTCTTTCTCTTTCTTTCTTTCTTTCTTTCTTTCTTTCTTTCTTTCTTTCTTTCTTTCTTTCTTTCTTTCTTTCTTTCTTTCTTTTATTTCCTGAGTGCTTACAGCAATCCTCTTTTAGAGATGAAGAATCTGAGGATCCAAAAAGACGTGTGACCTCTTGAAGGTCACACAGCTAAACGTGATGCAGCAGATTGGAGCATAGGGTCAATCTATCCACTGGTTTTCAGGGTCTCAGGGATAGGGACCATGCTTACTGCATGATAATTAAGTGGAGAAACAAGTTGCTGAAAAACATATAAATAGGATCTCATTTACAAAGGGGAGAAAACCTTGTATATTTGTATGTGTTCATATGTGCATATAAATTCATAGAACAAGGTCTGAAAAGGCATGCATCAAACCATGTTATCTCTGGGGAGAAGAATGGAGTGGAACTGGAGAGTATGATGGAGAAAGAGAAGCGTATGTCTTTCTGGATCGCTTCTGCTATGCTGGCCTTTTAAAGAATGAGACTATTCATGTGTTACCTGTATAGGTTCTATAGTACTCGGAAAGCTTTCTCACTGGGAGCAGGAGGCTGACCTCTTTCCTAATGACTGATCTTAGCCCTTTTTGGATATTTCTGCCATAAGCTGGTCTAAGCCACGAGTGAAGGTTGGCAAGGTGGTGGGGCTCCAGGACACAAATTACTCAGATGATGGTGAAGGAACCTACAGTGATATTTCTGCCTTGTAATAACTTTTTTTGCTACCAACTTTGATGTAAAATTCTCACTGTCAAACTCACAAGCAAAAATAATCCTAATTTCTCCTGGGCAATTTTAGACAAGACGGTTAAGGGATTAACACCTGTTCTCATGATACATACTACCTTCTCTCTCTTCCGATGAGCAAATTACTTTCTGGACAATGCAAACCACTCATTCAACAGCCATGTCCACATCCACTGTATCAAAGCTTGCCTTCCTATTCTTATTTTTAAAAAAATATATTTTATTGATTTTTTTTAAGAGAGGAAAGGAGAGGGATAGAGAGTTAGGAACATTGATGAGAGCTGAAACCGGTTTGGCTCAGTGGATAGAGCGTCAGCCTGTGGACTGAAGGGTCCCAGGTTCTAGTCCGGTCAAGGGCATGTGCCTTGGTTGTGGGCACATCCCCAGTGGGGGATGTGCAGGAGGCAGCTGATCGATGATTCTCTCTCATCAATGTTTCTAATTCTCTGTCCCTCTCTCTTCCTCTCTGTAAAAAATCAATAAAATATATATATTTTTTAAAAAAAGAAACATTGATGAGAGAGAAACATTGACCAGCTGCCTCCTGCACATCCCTTACTGGGGATGTGCCCACAACCAAGGTACATGCCCTTGACCAGAATCGAATCCAGGACCCTTCAGTTCGCAGGCCAACACTCTATACATTGAGCCAAACCTTTTAGGATCCTATTCTTATTGTGAGGATACTTTGCCATATGTAATTGCTAACATACAGGGTTACTTATCCTAAGGCTACTTATATTTTAAATTGACATTTAAAGCCTTTAACGTAGGGAAGGGACTCTAAATAATGGCAATTAAGTACCATTTGGTACATGGGAGGGAAGGGATAGGCAGATTGAGAGTAGGCAGCTCTGGGATCTTCCCAGCTAGCATTAAAATAGGTTATAAACCCTACTACTTACAAAATTCCTCCTAGTCCTTTATATACATTTATTCAGTAAACACTTAATAAACCCCTGGTATGTGTCAGACATTATGCTAGGCATTGTTGCAGAGAGAGGAAGAGTAAGACATAAACCTGACAGCAAGGACTTCAAAATATAGTTCTCTTCAATAGACAGCTACTATTTTTTTTTAAAGTGCCCCTCAAAATGCAGGCAGTTCGTGTGCATACACATATACACACACAAAAGTGGGAATAGCAGGGCAGTATCTCTTGTTTGAGAATACAGCCTTGTTGCTGCGAACAGCTGGATGTGAGAATGTATCTGCCCGGACCTGGTGAAAGTTGGACATGTGCTTCTGTATCAGCTCTGCCATCCACATAGAGGAAGTCAGGGGAAGGGAGGTATAATCTTAGGAAGACTGCCCAGATAGGACATGTCTTGTGGCCTTGGTACACACCCTGAAATCTGATAACTCTGAGCACACACAAGAGCAAATTGGCTTCCTAACTGGAGTTCAGTAGCACTGACAATTCCCTAGGAAAGCTACTTAACCAGCGGCCTCCTCTCAGAGACACTGGCCCAGTAGCCCAGACTTGAAACGTCATTTCTGTCTACACCACGGAAAATGCTATGGCCTTTTGAATGCATGGGCAGTAATACACACCAAGAGCCCAAAAGACAATGTACAGAAACTTAGGGCCCAGGAGAGGACACCCTAAAGTGTGCCTGAAACACTGATCTATGCATGATAAGAATTCTGTGATTTAAAGATTTAAATTACTCCCACTGAACACAGGTGCTTGAGAACGCACCACCACACCATTACGCCCCTGCCAAACATATCTCCTCTTTCATATACATTTTACACCAACCTTTAGAGAGAGATCCCCCCCCCCCCCCCCCCGGATGTCACAGTGAAATCTTCCATATGAGTTACCTCCATACATTTCTTATTTTTAAAGATGAAAATCTGCTTTGGCGCTTTGATGGGATGAAGAGAGCGAGTCATACCAGCCCACTGTACATGTGTCCACATTGTTGTTTTAATAAGAATCAAACTACATGTACTCATCTGTGTATGGTTGGCCCATGAAACTCCTGGCTATGCCCAACGAGAGAGGTCTGGCCTGTCAGTCTAACCACGGACTAGTGGGAAAAAAAATCAAGGTCCCTAGTGTCTCTGGGGCAAATGAAATTAAGTGGAACATAAGTCCTTGTTGAAGTCAGTATAAATTAAGCTCATCTACTTTAACCATCGCTAATACTCGGGAGGATGAAAAGTAACATCTTGTGGTCTTATTCCCTCTGTGGCCCCAGGGAGGGGCGGGTTTAGTGGCTGCAGATCCCAGACTTCCAGCTAGTTCCAGGTACTGCCTCCTGGACATTGCCTCAGCTCATCGCAGCATTTGGATGTCATTACAGCCCTGGATGTGGTTAGGGAGACATTTCTGCTTGTTTTTAAAGTGAGGGTAAATAAGCAGACAGAAGTGACAGCAATGATCAGCACAGTAAAGCAGCAGCAGTAGTCTTCACTCTACAGAAGAACCAGAAGAATGAAGAGTCAGGGGATATCTGAGCTGGAGGTGGGGCCCTCCGATCATTTGGCAGATGTGGATACAGAAAGGGCGGGCGCCTTGCCCAATACTGCACAGCTAGTAGTGACAGAGCTGGGATGGGAAGCCAGGCCTCTGGGCCTCCTAGCCAAGGCCCTAGTTGGCTGTCCATGCTGAAACCACTCAGCTTCTTCCTACCCAGGGGAAATACTGTCAAGTAGAAGAGGTTTGTATCCCCTGCCCATGCAATTCGGTCTTCGATTCACCCAACTGGAGAGCTGCGAGGTTAGGACGGAGATGTAAAGTGAGGTCGGGCAGAAATAGAAAAGAGGTTTCCAGCAGTCCATGCACTGGGTCTAGCTCTAGTGGGGCCAGCCCTCGGCTTTGCTTCCCTGGCTACCACTCTACTGAGTGGAGTGTGGGTCTAAGCAGCGGCCGACTGATCTTCTGGTTCCTTTGGAGAATATGGCCCTTGTGGCCCTCCTCACTTCTGCCTTCGAAAGGGGAAGCCAGGCTCACCATTCAGATCAATACATGGGGCAATTCTATGGCCAGCAGAAGTGCCACTGTGAGATTGCCCTGATCTGATCTGAGGAGGCCTAGGATCCCTACCCTCTACATCCCAAGACAAGCAGCATCAGCTTGAGTAGCAAATTATTGCTAATTCCTGAAAGCAACACATGGCTTCTTACAGGATACTGTGCAGAAAGAGAAGAGACACCATTCAGAAACAGCATTCCCCTGCATGCCTAGGATATGACCTTATCTGGTAACATTCTGCATCCCATCAGCTGTCTTGAAAGTCTGGCTTTGGTTCCGTAAACACGTCCCTTTAAAACCAGACTCGTAGATGAGATGGATTAGCTCCTACAGAGATTTGCTCAAAAAAAGTGTCAGGAGGCAAGTCTCTCAAGACACCATCACGTTGTGTGGACAAAGGCAGTGATTGGATTGACTGACTGAGACTCAAGGTTTGGGTCATAACGAGACCCAGGCAGGGCTGAACAATAAAACGCTCTAATTGATGTTATGCATGTGAAATGACACACAGACACCCCAGAGCATGCTCTAATGAATCTACATGCTGTGTGCATGAGATTTACCGTGGGTCAATTACACCACCCAGATGCCCCATGAGCCAGCCCACCGCTGTGGTGTGAGGCCTTGGGACACAGGCTACAGGGTGGCAGAGACCACGGAGTCTGTGGTCCGTCTGTATTCCCTCTGGGAGAAAGCTGCCATGTGGCACGTGCACATAGTGGTCACGCCACAGGACCACTCCAGTGCACGGAGCCTTCTGGGTCACTGGGCTGCAATGCCAGAGCCCTGGTTTCAATTAAACCTAAGTGGATTTGACTCACAGTTTGAACTGACGCTAATTGCTTTTCAAAACACTGGGTAACAATAAGTTACCCAGTTCTGGCCTTGCCCACAGCCGGACGGACGCACCCAGCTCCAGGGTATGCGGGGCAGGCCACATGCCTGTTACCTTGACGGGCAGGGCTCCAAGCTGCAGGCTTTCAGGAGCTTCGGGGGCCGGCGGCTGGTCACGCACAGGTTCTCCTCGGCAGGCTCCCGCGTCTGTTTGTTCAGGCAGCTCACCACAGCCTCCTGGACACCTGTGTACAAATCACACTGTCAGGCCGAGCGGGCGTGTGGGGGTGATGAAGTGTGGACAAGGCAGCCGGTGGGAGGGCTCTGGGATCGGTGGGACTCTGGCCGCATGTCAGAGACAGCCGTGCAGAGCCCGGGACTGCCCGTCTCATCTTGTCAAGCATCGCTCGGTCTGCGAGAAAGTACACGTAGGCTCGTGCCTCCGGGCATGTCCCCCGAGAGGACAGGCTGCTACCAGGTTGTTGAAAGGCTTTAAAAAAAAAAATGCCACCAGGCCCTATAGCTGCCAACGCGGAGACGTGACAATTTAATGCAGACAGAGAGCAGGGTGACAAAAAAAAAAAAGGGCCCCAAGACCTTTGCACGTTACATTTTAATCAACGGGAGATTGTTGTGTTTGGAAGGGAGGCCCAGAGCCACGTTTTAATATCCAGCGATCTGTCGCCTGCTGTTCTCCGGGGGCCTCGCATCCAGGGCTCCAGTTTCTGTTGGTTTCTTTTGATGCTGCTTCCTCTCCTCAGTGAGCCAGGGAAGTTCTTTAAACAGAGAAGGAGAACAAGATGCACAATGACTGCACCCACGGAAGCAGTGTTTCCGGGAACGCCTGCATGCCCCTGACGCAGAGCTGGTAGAACAGGAGTCTGAGCAGCGATGGGCACGGGTGACTTGGCAGGTCCGAGGTGGTGGGCAGGACCCGTCGTGGAGACTTTCATGGAGCAAGGAAGCATGGAACTGGGTAAGGTCATTATCTTCCTGGACCAGGCTTTTCGTTCTGGTGCCCACAGTCATAATAATAGTTCAAATCCACTGGTTGCCCATGGTCAGCCAGGTATGAGGCTCAGAGAGTTACATGCACCATTCAGTCTTCTCAACAACTCCGTGAGGAATGCACTAGTTGGAGCCCCAATTTCAGCTTAGAAAACTGAAGTGTGGAAGGGTCAAAAGACTTGCTAAGGGCACACAGTTGACAAACATGAAGCTGTGCCTCAGTACTGGAGCCTTAATGCTGACAGTGTTAACATTTATCGGTAAAAATACTGAGAGGCTGCTCTATCTGCTGGCAATCTTCAGGAATAGCCTAGACATTTGTCTGGAATCATTTCAGCAGGGTTTAGTTTAAAGAACAGGCGAGACCAAACATTCTCGATAATAAGCTTCCAGTCGTACATAGCTATGTATATAAAGATCTGTATATCTAAAGATACCTATCTGTAGTTAAATATTTGTATGTAGTTAAAGCAGAATGTGTGACAATCCACTGAATTAGTGTTATATAAATACACATATCCAGGGGTGGGCAAAGTAGGTTTATAGTAGTTAGGAGTACACAAAACACTGTTCATTTTTATATTATTATTTATCAATTATTGTATTATTTATTTGTTTTACAACTGCAAGCCTCCTTTTGTCCATCCCTGTATTTCTTATTTTTATTTTCTGCATTGCTTTGCAATTATTACTTGATGTAGTTCAATTGGCTCATCATTTCTTTAAAAAAAACCACCATATTTTTATTGATTTTTTTTTTTTTTTTTTTTTTTTAGAGAGAGAGGGGAAGTGAGAGGGTCAGAGAGAGAAATATCAGTGTGAGAGCTTAACACAATCTGCTGTCTTCTACACACTCCCTACCCGGGAGTGAGCCTGCCACCAGGGCATGTGTCTTGATCAGGAATTGAATGAGCAATGTTTTGGTGCATAGGACACCTAACCAACTGAGCCACACCGGCCAGAGCACTGACCATTACTTCTTAGGCCTGTTGTTTCCCTCCTCCTATCTACCCTATATTTCTCCAAGAAGATATCACCCCAATCAACAGGCTAATGCTTCCTAGGGTGATGTTATACTGGCTTAGGTCACACAACAAGACCATCAGTCAAAAAGTGACATTTTAAAGCCAGAATCAGTATCACCTTTCTTCCTTCCCAGTAAGTCTCATACATCAAATATTAAAAAAAAAAAAAAAATCAGTAACAATATTTACTCTGCGGTCATGAATGTAAATTTTCTTTTTTTCTCCCTGAGTTTTTAATAAACTTAAAATTTTAATTTAAATAAATCATGGCTAGTTCAGAGTGGAAAATTTGGGATTTGTATAGGACATTCAAGATACTTCATCGTATTCTGTAATGCTGACTACAGGGTGTTTCTCTTGGTTCCAGCTGGGATGAGCCATTTGAAATCCATGGAATGGTGATTCAGCAACCATTTCACAAGAAATGGTTGATATCATCACTGAGCCTTCCCCCTGGAATAGTCTGGCATTATTGAGGTACTGACGACAAGGCGCTGGATGAGGTTAACAATTCCATAAAGAACCCAGAGCGGTGCTTACATTATATTAAGAAACACATTAAGAAATTAAGTTTTCAATTTATTTAAGAGATACTAAATGTTTCTCTAAAATAAAATATACTTTGGCTTTGTTCAGCTACAAATCCATTATCATTTGCCTTATTTGCAAGTATTTTAGGTGTGTGTGGGGGGTGGGTGTGTATAAGTAAAGTGACCTGTTTTTACTGTGTGAACTTCTTGTTTATAGAATTTAGGTCCTTCTAAGATTTCAAACAATAGATGTAATAAAGGTTAAGATTCCACAAGGACATCTGTAGTCTCCTTTCTTGGATATGTGGAACACAAATTTACATTAAACCAATAATCATAGCTCAAGATCAAAATCACCTCTTGGATGGTTAAGAGCTGGGACTAAGCAGCATTTTAGAGTTACCTGATTCTAATCTAGCGTATTCTAAAACAATGTAGGGGGCCACACTATGAGTTAAAGGTCTATTGTGACAGTGATCACTTGCCTCTGCATTTTAAGGTGGGGCTCGGCATGGTGGGGGAAAGGAAGGACAGAGCTTTGTCATAAGAAAGGAGTATCTGGGACCAGCCCTGTGGTCAACACACAATAAATTTTTGTGGCCTGATGAATGGAATGAAATGCCTAAAGGGCAGGGCATTCTAAGCATAGTGTGCAATTACGACTAAGGGGAGGTGGGGATGAGATGCCTGCAGGGAGGAACATGGAGTGAGAGAGCTGCCTTGGACTTGGGAGTGTGGGAAGTTGGAGGAGGGAGGAAATGTGAGGACTTCACCTTCAAGTTCACAGTATCCTTGGCCCAGGGGAGTCAGGCCAGGAAGTGAGAAGTTAGCTCATCCAGTTTGTCCTCTTTCCAGACAGGCTAATATATGCCCTGAGAAGGACATTCTAAACCAACACAGAACATATGCATAATTACAGTAGTTTATGATTTTGAGTTTTCCTTTCTTGACAGAAGCAAAAGGAGAGAGGACTCATAAGGAAAAGGGAACAGCAGGTATAAGATGTCCTCATTCTTGCAGAAGTAAATTTCCAGTTTTCCCTCAGCTAGAGTTCAATGTTGATTTTTAGCATCTAGGAGTTCAATGTCAGAAAGTTGTTCAGGTTCAAATCCTTGACCACACCTAATACCGCACATAGGGAAATTAAAATAGAACAAGGAGATGATACTGGGGCACAGGACACAGCCACAAACAGGTTAGGCTCATTTCGAATTTTCCAGAAAATGGGATTTTCATTGTTTCTCAGAATAGCTTAATTGTTACATGATATTTGATGACAGCTTGGGGAAATGTAGTCACCTACTATTGCCTAAATTACTAACTAGTTCCTTCTGGTCACTATCTCTGCTAGGTGAAAGGTTACTTTTGTGTCTATCCAATTTCCTCTCTTGAGATTACAAAAACAATAAAATTAGCCCGACTGGCCTCACAGCCCACAATTGATTTAAAAAAAAAAAAAACCCACAAAACCAAAACCTGTTAATCTTGTATGTTTTTGGTTGCCTTCAGCAAGAATGATCAAAAAATATATGTAACCTTGTGGGTTATATTTTGGTGAAAGATCAAAGTTGATAATACAATAAAATGTTATTGCCAAATACTGACTTCAAAATGTACCTGTCCCATATGACAAAATAATTTTTAGTGCATATGGGCATCATATGGGCCCATATATTCCCAGTCTATTTTCACCAGTTTGGAGTTTTCAACTCGAACATTTTAGGCGTAAATATATGACCTTGGCACAGGGACATAACTATAGGTAAGTTTGCACAGTTGTTGACAGTTAAGAACTAAGGCATTTCATTAACTTTGCTGCCTTGGACAGAAAGGATATACAATTTATGTTACACAAAGTTGCTCAGGTTCCTAAAGGCAGAGATCAATGGCACATCAAACATCCAAATCTTATTTCTAACTCAATATCTCCTGAAAACGTTTTACATGAAAAACATTCCATATACTCGCTCCACTTTGAATTTTATGCCCTTGGTTGATCCACAAAATAGACTCTTAAACATGAAGGTATCTGCTTATTTATATATTCCATTACTGCATCTATTTTTTCCATCTGTTCAAGTTCCAGGCATGACTTGTAACTGAAAGCCATCACTGAGAGAGACCATAAGTAATTTTTTTTCAAAGCACAGTTGATTTAGACTAGAGATAATGATCCTTCAATTCAGGTGATCATGGAAATTTGGGATAAACACACACCTTCTGAACTCTTGAGTCATTCCTTATATTGGAAAGAAGCCACCATAGCCATTGGCGGTGGTCTTTCCACATGACCTCCTAGCTCCTGCCTAGGCTAAGAGAACATCAGCTTATTTAACACTTCTCCCTCATTAGGGACGTAAAGATGTACGCAGTGTGAGGGAAGAACACCATAAGAACATAGATTAGTTGAGTTCCAAGAAACTCTTCCAGAATCAGATGGAAAAACTTAGGTTTTAAAAGAAGAGGGCACTCCATTAAACCGCTTAAGAATTTCACGGTTTCAATTGGAAGGCTTAGAAGCAAACAAAAATCTCAAGGTCAAAGCTATTAAACGCCTATTAAAAAATTGTGATGGAGAAAATTGATTCTTTGCTAGTACTTGTTTCACTACGCATTCCTTTTCAGCTCTATGGGAACAATTTGGGCACATTTATCCTCACATTCTCAATGATGATTAAAGGTGCCTTTTTTTTCAGTCTTCACCTGAGGAGTTAGGATATTTTTCCCATTGATTTTTATAGAATGAAAGAAAGATGGGAGGGCAGGGGAGAAAATGAGAGAGAGAGAGCTAGAGAGAGAGAGAGAGAGAGACCGACCAGAGAATGAACCTGCAACCCAGGTACATGCCCTTGACCAGGAATCAAGCCCTCGAACCTCCTATTCTCAGGCCAACACTCTAACCACTGAGCAATGCAGGCCAGGACAAAACATGCCTTTTAAAAAGAGTTTTCAAAATGTCATGGTTTCCAATGCAGTTGGGGAGGAATAATATATATATATATTTACACCACTTAAGAAACTTTGCTGGCAATGCAGAACCTTAACCTGCCACCAGGGGTCCTGATAGCCAGAGAGGGGGATTTGGCAGGAAATTAGCCAGAGTTTCCTCATCTATCAAAATCCCATTTGGGAGTAGGCATGGCAGGCAGTAGCAATAGGAATGTAATGTATTGTCTATAATAGTAAGAAAGACTGTAATCTCGATGAATTAGCTGTTGATTTAAATGCCTTCCTCTCCCACCACAATCCTATTCAGATTTCACCTGAAATAAAGAATCCCTGAGTCTATTTGATCACCTTGAAATACACCTAGGAACCAGGTCAATATACATGGGCCATTTAACACTAGTTCAATCATATTCATAACGAGGAAGCTTTAGGAATTCTCTAGGTGTGGCATGATGCACTCCAGATAGAGACATAAATAAATGGCAAGCCTTGTCCCAGCTGTCATGCACTAGGCTGTGTGATCTTGCCCAAGTCACTCAGCTTCTTTATATCTTCATTGTCTCATCTGTAAAATGGCGGTGGGATCAGATTTCCATCTTTAAACTCCCCTCCAGTTACAAGTAACCGCCGTGTTAATTGCCCTTTATTACACCTTTTCCCTTTGGAAACAGATATTACTTTGGAAAACCCGTTGAGTAAAACAGAGGGACTACAAGTTATTCTCGGGAATTGCAGGCTGTTTTGTGGTCTTGGGTTCTGGTTCATCCCGTGTGCCCTCAGGCAAGGGCCTAGATAAATAAAACTGAAAGTTGGGGGCATTGCTGGGTCTCTGTCCACCGTGTTTTTCAGGCGGATCCACCAGGATATTGTGCAAAAACATCAGAATGACAATGGAAAGTAAGAGAATAAGTTATGTTGGCCACTCGCAGCTGACAATCTCAGAGCTCCCAGCTGACAATCTCAGAACTCCTCCAGCCCAGGAGAGACACATCTGGGTTTCATTCAGTTCGCTTTCTGTTTAGAAGGGCTCTCTCCCCTCCTCCCGCTGCTTATCATTCCTGGACCGGAGGCAGTCACGTGACACAGTTGCACACAGGGAGAGAGGGCACACATAAAGGACAAGAAGAGGGTGGGGATCTGAGCCAGAATCCCCCCTTCTTACCTCCTCCGCAGGACTCCGAGCACTTGGTGAAGCCCTCATACTCCCAGTCATACAGCTCATCGAAGTCCTGTAGGCCACCGGTCTCCCCCGGGTGGGGCTCAGGCAGCTCCCCGTTGCAGGGTCCCGCATAGCAGGCTCGCTGGGAGGCCGGCTTGGGGCCTTCACATTCGTCCACAGGCAGGTCGGCCACAGACTGGGAGAAAGACAGGAGCACCTGGCACTTGACTATTCGCACCTGGGTCCCCACACCGCAGGTCACCGTGCAGGCCGACCAGGCCTCTGGGATGAACCTGCAGTTGGCAAGCAAACAAGAGGACAGGGTGAGAAGCCCCAGACAGCAGAGCCTGGGCACCGGGAGGGGCCGCGTCCCACCTGCCGCCATGGCCCAGTGCCCTCTCAGGATGTGCTCAGGGCCCTGCCACCCTGTCCTCTGACGGGCGCTTCTGTTTAGTTCATCAGCTCACTTGCCACTGTTTCTGGATTGGTCTCTTCCAGTGTCATATGAACTCCCAGCTGGAAGACATTCCAGCCACAGACCACCTGCTTTCTGCCTGCCTTGCACCCACAGGGGCAGCGATTCCGAACAGGGAGGGAATTGATGGTTTCTTCTCTCTGGCTCTAAATCCCAGCACTTGTGCCTGCTGCAAGATGCTGGCTATTCTTACAGCAGGCTAATTTTGATACTAAAAACTCTAACAAAGGAAGCCCGTGGAGATATTTAAGGAAGTATTTCTCTTAGTCTGGATCTCATATTCTTTAATTTTCTTTGCTTTTCTGCACAAATGTGTTTCCCAAGATTTATTTATATGCAGAAAAAGTTTTTTGTTTTCTTTTCGTATTTTGTAAGATTCCAAGAATGGAGCCGTCTTGCTGCTCACACATTCTTTGAATTAGTCTGGACTGCAGTTCTTTTTATATCACAGAGAAAAATCTGTGCTACAAATTTAAGTCCACAGGCATGTGACAGTAAAGAGGCTGTGCTTTGCTACAAGAGTGTCCTGTACCCCCAACTCCTGAGAGAGAAGCCACAATAGCCAGAACCTGATTTATCTCCGAGTTTCTCTAGAATGTAGAACAAGATCCACATTTTTAAAAGTTTTTCCCCCTCCCACTAATCAACAATGGCTATGCCTGCAATGACCTTGAGAGGGGTCTAGGGAAAAAAGCCCAGAGGGAACTGCTAACATTTTCAAAAACTTAGTAAAATAATCTGGAGCCAGAACTTCGGAATAAACATTTTTTTTTCCCCCCAGTCCTACTGCTTTCTCACAGGGAGTTGTGCTGAGGAGGCATGCAAATCTGGCTCCTTAACCTTGACTTTGGCAGAAAAGAAAAGAACTGATAAGAAGGTTCTAGGAGTGCAAATGGTTCATATCTAGTTTAAGGGAAATTGAAATTCTCACAGTAAAACAATCCAAGTTTTCTAACTGGAAGGAACACAACAAGGACACGTCCTGGGCCTGAGCCTGGGCTGTGCATGGAGTAGGGGGACCTGGCGTGGTGTCTCAGGCCTGGAAGGAGTCCCTTTAGGAAGGGACATTTGTTATCCTTAAGGAGTCACCCCTGTTGGAGAGATTGAAAGTCACATGCAACCTTGTCAGGAAGGTGGATAAGGGAGGAAGGGCCACCCAGAATTATTCCCAAGAAATTCTCCTCTCAATGTTACCTCCCTCCCTCTCTTGTTTTCGAATTCTTGAGTTCATCTTCTGACACCTAGAGAAGCTGGGGGGAAAACAGTGTCCTAAAAGATTAAAAAGTCTCTCGGTCTTTAAACAATGCTACCTATGGAGACTCTTTAGAAAAATAAAACTATAATCTGAACTCAAAATAATCTTAACCTTCTTCTTTCACGCTCCTATACATCTGCCTGGCTCCTGACTCAAGCATCACGGCAAATACACAGACACTGAATACTGCACTCCAGGTGCAGCCATAATGGAAAATGCAAAACTAATGCAAGATGCTAAACAATTTCATATACAGGGAAAAACCCCAAAAGCAAATGGTAAGTCTGCCAATTGGAGTATAATGTAATGAATAATGCTTGTTTAATAATGTGGTGCTGAATTTTGTTTTCAAATGCAAAAAGATGACAAGCTCCCAAGAAGAATGGCACCCTATTAGCTTTCCCTATGCAATGAGGATTACTGTGTTGTCACCTGTCACAGCCCTCTGCAGTGACCGTTGTGAAAAGACAAGATCAGCTAGCTTTTTCTGGAAAGGGCCAGATAAAAAATATTTTAGATTTTGTGGCCATGTTTGTAGGTCTTTATTGTCGCAACTACTCAGCACTGCCAACATACTATGAAAGCAGCCCTAGACAACATGCAAACAGATTGGTTCAGCTGTGTCCCAATAAAACTTTATAAAAACTGGGGGTCAGGTGGACAGGGTAGTGAAAGGGTCTGAATTTTGCCTGTGGGCTGTAGTTTTCTAACTCCTGCTGCAGAACATTTAGTGAAGATGCCAAACACACTGAGACTCGCAAATAATCTCCAAAGTTATTTTAGGCCTTACTTTCTACTTCCCCCCACATATATAAAGCTTATAAGAATGACAAGTAGCTAAATTGATGTATGTTTTATCTTCCAAAGTGAGTCCCAGATGAATTCTGGGAATATAAATGATGAGCAAATTAAACACTCAACTCTCCTTGCCTATAATGTGGATCACTCTGCATTTGGTCTCTTTCCAGGACCAAGAAGATACACACCAAAAGCCCATTGAGTAGAAAGGGCATGCTACTGATGCCCCATGAACTCTATGAAATAGCGGAAACATTTATTTTAAAGCAGCAACCAAATGAAAAATGAAAATAAGTATGCATGTATGCGTGTGCGTATTTTTCACTATCTGGACATTTAGGGTTAATTGCAAAACCAATAAACATCTATTTTATATCTCCCAAGTGAGAGTCTTATCAAATATCAAATAGCCTTACTGGCTTATCTCCCAACCCACTATCCTGAGGTCTTCATCAAGTTCACACCAATTAAAAACAATTTGGCTTTTAAGTAGTGCTGTCTTCTAGCAGTCATCTTAATTTCTCTAATGCATACACTGCATGATATAATATATCCTCTCTTGTTGAAGGCAGAAGATTATATTTCAAAAGAAAAATACATAATAGTGCAAATGGCCAAATGAATAATAACTTTTTCATATGAACCTTTCCCCCACACCCCTAGATTTCTCAACTCTGCATTTACTATCTTGAGCTTTCTGGCCACAAGTGGGAGGAAGCAAGGTCAGTGAGAGGGCAGGCAAGTGAGCTAAGAGATTTAAATGTCATGTGTGGCTGACTCAATTAGAATAGTACTTCTTGAGTTAGAACCTTTAAAGTGGGATCTTTAGAACGGAGTCAATAGGCATTTAAAATGTCATTTTGATGTACAAATGTACAACGAAAAAGTTGTTATTATTGAAGTTTAATTTGGGTAATTAAAAAATTCTTTTTGTTTGCAGCACTATGGTGGGATGAACAAAAAATGGCTGGGTAAGTTTCTTAAAAGATAGGCTTTAAGTTCGGGAAGGACTGATATGATTTCACATTTAATATTGCCATCTCCAGAAAATTAAAAAGAATTCCAACAAATATATGATTTATGCTTCTGTCTAGTCTTCCACTGATTTCCAAGCTTAATTATTCATTTTATTAACAAAAAGCTTAGTCTTTTATTATAGTTATTACCATAGTCCTTTTCATGGAATAAGAACAGTGATAATGAAACTCACTTGTAAAATCCCAAAGTGGTTTAGTTTATTAGTAGCTATTATGGAGTCAGAGCATAAACTAAAATGATTAAAAAAAAACACAATTGCTTTATTAATTCAGTTAAACAGAATCAATTCATTTTTAGTTAATTAGTCAAATGTCACTGCAAATCTTAGCCAGAGGTAGGCTCTGAATTTGATACACTATTATATAGTCTGTGGTGAAGATATTTAACTGCCTTTCTCCTCTTACTTTCCTTTTGCTTCTCTCCTTCTTTCTCACATATATTTTTGTTTAAAAAATAATTGGGACTATTCAAAATAAGAGTAGCTTTAAAGTATACATTTTGATGCCGTGACCAGCTTGCTTTGTGCTCTGGTTTCAAAATGCAAATTGAAACTTGCAGGAAATCACATTAGGAATACTTAATTTTGGTTTACTTTTCAATCTTATTACATTTAGGTTTTAAGGGGTTGTGGATTTTGTTGCCCTCTCTCTGTTGGCAAATGTTTGAGTATGAAAGTGGTGGCAACATATCAGAGTGAGGAGAAAGGAGGGAATAAACTGTAGTTAAAAATTATAAGACTACTATTTGAAACAAGTCATTAAAGTTGCAGGATACAAGATAAATATATAAAAAACTGTTGTGTTTTTATATACTAGCAAAGAAATATAAGAAAAAGCAAAGAAAGAAACAATACCATTTACAATATAACATAAAGGATAAAATGCTTAGGAATAAACTTAACAAATGAAGTAAAGGATCTGTACTCTGAAAACTATAAGAAATTGGAGAAAACACAAAGAAATGAAAAGACCCTGTGTTTATGGATTGGAATAATTGACACTTTTAAAATGTCCATATTACCTAAAGCAACCTACAGATTCAATGCAATCCCTGTTAAATCTAATGGCCTTTGTCACAGAAACAGAAGAAAAGATCCTCAAATTTGTATGGAACCACAAAAGCCTTCAGATAGTTAAAGCAATCTTGGGAAAAGAGAACAAAACTGAAGTATCACACTCCCTGACTTCAAACTATACTACAAGGTGACAATAATCAAAGACATGTTGTATTGGCAGTAAAATAGACACATAGACCAGTGGAACAAGAACTGAGATCCTAGAAATAAATCTACGTGTATGAGGGCAACTATTTTTCGACAAAGGAGCCAAAAACATATATCATGGAGAAAGGGAAGTCCCTTCAAGAAATGCTGTTGGGAACACTGCAAAGACACATGTGAAAGAATGAAATTAGATGGTTATCTGACACCATACATAGAATTACTCAAAACGAATTAAAGACTTGAATATAAGACCTGAAACAATAAAATACATAGGCAGTAAACTTATGGACCTTTGTTTCTGACAGGTTTTTGTGAACTTCATCTCAAAGGCAAGGAAAGTAAAATAAAGAATGAATAGGACTACATCAAACAAAAAAGTTTCTGTTCAGCAGAAGAAACCAATAACAAAACAAAACAAAACATCAACCAACTGAATGGGAGAAGATATTTACAAATGATACCTCTGATGAGGGCTAATATAACAAAATATATAACCAACTGATAC